CCAAACCGCAATGATTATTGAGATTACGAATACTCGCAACATTCCTTCTGCAAAGTACATTACATGTAGAGAGCTCTCGCAACTTTCAGAATCCGAATCCGATTCCGGTTAGACAAATGGATTAGGTTTCGGCATTGGACTTGTAGTTCCTTCTTTTCGCGGTTGGAATAGTATCATACATATTCGAGTGAATGCCAAGCAGCAGGCGCTAGTGCAAGGGACCTAGTGCAAGGGGCCTCGTGCATGCCTAGATCGATGCATTCCATGTAGTGGCGGAGGCCAATACGCTTTTTCTTTTAGCAAGATCTGCACACAGCGAGCTTATGACCTTGTTTGCGTAGGTGATCGGCCCCAGATACCTGGAATGGGTCTAACCGCAGTTTACTTCCTTGTTTATGCACTGAATCTTGGTTGGCAATGCCATGAGTGTCCTGTGGTGTCCATCAGGTGAGCGTACCCATTATTTGAATCGTAATGAAAGCTGGAAACGTTGACCATGGGTGGCACGCGCGTGTACTTGCCAATGATTGCGACGATGTTACACTGCGTCGATGTCGCCATGGGGTGAGTGAGCGATCTTGAATTCGAGAAAGACATGGACACCTGCTATCAGCAACATCGTGAGCGCCAGGGCTAAAAAAAAAATCAACTCGCAAAGGTACGCTCCAGGAGTTATTCAGTATACGTTCTCGTGTTTATCATGGTGCTTACTCCATGCACAATAGTACACAATATAAACTATACTTTTGAGCACGTTGATTGTAAAAATTGTCTTTTTCTCTTGATATTGTACGTAATGACTTGCATTAAGAGCCTGGTTCGGGCGTCGTCGTCAGTTTTTTAATAGGGATAGGGCAAATTGGCCACATTTTTCATTTAGATCTCGTCTTGATTCTCTATTGATTACAAGGGATAACCGTTTCGGGCAATTTAAAATTGTTATTGGACAGTGTGCAATGCACACTCCCATCTTAACACCCAACTCTCAGTGTTACTTACTACTGATTCCTCCTAGAGATGTTCTCTTCATATCCCGATTAGATCTCTTCTATTCGCCTTTTTTATCACAGAACATATGACGGTGAAGCGTAGCATACATGGGGCCCATGATGGGCGGATGTAAAGCAGCCTTTCGATTTATGTGCAGACGATTCCCTCGGTTGTAATCTCTAGAAATGGAATACTCCCTCAATAGCAATAAATTTGCGGTTCCCGTTGACCAGAAACATACAAACAAGATATTATTCCCTCTCACCCTCACATTAATATAAAATGCATTTAAAATCAAAAATTTCTATTCTGGGGTGCTTAACTATGGAAAAAGTCATAACTGCACATGAACAACATTGCTGCCACGGCCGATTCGAATTTGAACCGATGAAGCCTATTCTTTTGACTACTTTGAACGTTATTCGAGCTTTAGGACCACAATGAAGTGCTTAACCTTCACTTATTGCACACCTGTGACGGCAAAACCCTCGTCACTCCACGAAACCCGACTGGCAAGTACCTGGTCCGGTGTAGACTGGAGCACGTCTCGTGCCGCGATTTGGTGGCCAACTGCGAGGCCGGAAGTGAGTCCAGTGCTGTTCAGAGTATCAATACCGTAGATTCTGTGAGCCCATGAATTTAGCTCTGGACAAACTTGGTACGTGGGCATGGTGCTAACATATTTGTACATCAGTCGTTGGGTATTGGTGAGTGTGATGTGGACTGGTTGGGCTAGAGAGGAAGCTATCTTGGTGTGGTGAGGCAAAACTGGCAATAGGAGAGCAAAACACGGTGGTTTGCCAGAAACGAGCTACATTAATCGTATATTTTGTGTACCGTTCCAAGCTGAAGGTAGTCGGATCCATTTTTGTGGTACATTCGTGGATAGGAATACCCTTAGACAGGAATAAATTGGCGGCTCCCAGCGCAATGACTACCGAGGGGATCGTCTGTATTTGTTTCGGGTTTCTGATCGATCTCCAGCCGCTCTCGAATCGAGAGCTGCTTGATGTGAATCTTGATTGCGCCAAATCCACATTTCATGGTGATTGCCCATGGACGGTTTATGGACTTAATGATTGAGCATGTTGATTTGTTCCTCGTCGGCACAGAGCCACTTCATTCTTCAATTGGCTTTCCCAGCTCCCATACGCAACATAGCCACTATTAAACGATGCGCGCGCTGTTCGTAGTGCTAGTGGTTGCAGCCACTCTTCTTGCCAACAGCAAAGCTACAACCTCCTCAGACCTTACCAAGACGACCGCGACTCAAGCTGTTGTGTCAATCCAAGCGAGCAAGACAAATCGGCGATTTTTGAGAAGCCAGAAAGCCCCCGAAAAATACGGCGAAGTTGAGGAGGAAAGAGCCTCCACAAATGCCCTGGCGATTGTCGACGACGTCGCAAAAGCTCTCCCGTCACTCGACGATGCCCTAAAAGTGTTTGCGACACCCGACGAGGTGAAGAAGCTCACGGACGCGATCGCTGCGAAGAATATAAAAACCACGATGCAAGAAGTCAAACCTCTTTTTGAGAAAATGTCCCTGTACCCTAACGTCAGGGAGAAGATGGTGGCCGAGATGAAAGAACTCCCGCAGCTCAAGTCGTTGTGGAATAGTTATATTATTGAAAAAGGGGTAAAATTCGAAAGCGCTTATGAGATAGCTAAGCCCAGAGCAGGCCCCCCAAGCACTAGTTAGTGTAAATCACAGCTCTCACAGTGCAGTGCAGACGATACTCAAATATTTCACGCTCTCGTTTCGATGCTTTCCTCATTATCGTGTTGTGTCATTTCACGAGGTAGCTCTTGTACAACACATACTATAGTACCGGTAGTGATCTAACGCTTGACTGGCCCAGCTGTCTTGCGTGCATTCTTGGAATGGTTATTCTATCACGCAATTACATTGGTTCACTACAAGTTGTAGTCTACAACTACGCAGACGATCCACGGGGGTTCCAGTTCTTTGCATTTGTATCGCGTAGCCACGTACCTCGTAGGATATACTACAGTATACTAGGTCTCTGACGACTTTGGTCAAACCATTTGATCACGTGAAAAAAAGCCTCGACAAGTATTATTTGACAGGCCACTAGCACACCACGAAGCCCAATCTTTTATTTAAAGTGTTCATATTGACCTTGGTGGCCTCTACATCGCTACAGCCACCTTTTCTATCCGATATTCCAACTTGGATCGATTTCCATTGGTTTATTCTCACAGTCCCCATACTTGGCCCTCTACTCCATCTCTTTGTAGGCCCTATATCCATTCATTACGTACTAGTAGTAGTGTGATGAATGCGCTGCTTCTTACCCGTCGTGGTGTGCTTAAAGGCCTGTCAAATGTTTGCCAAGGTTTATTTTCTACGTGACCAAGTAGCGTGACCACAGTCCTCAGAGACCTAATATAATGATTATGAGGCCTCAATCGTGGGAAATGGACCATATTTCCCATACCGTCCCACACCTAAGATCTTCATTCTAGTGGGAAGATTTTGAGGGGTGCCTACTAAACTTAGAAGTTCGGTTCTCGATTCTTACCTATGCATTGGAATTTTGATTTTTTTTCTTCATAAGAAGTCCATTCTGAGCTCCCTCGCGCCCTGCTTGGATGTCAATAATTTTAGGGCCCCTTGTTAGCCAGGGTATCACTTCATGCACGGTCATTTACAGCTCCCGACCGGAACCCTGAGGTCTAATAGCACTTTAGTGGCCTGGAAGTTTTGTTTATCGAGTGCGGAATCGATATCGCGAACGGGATACGAAAGTGATGAAGAAGCGTGCAGTATTTTAATTGCTGTACGAAGTAATCCGAATCCGTCCATTCGATGCTCTGGAGTAGATACCAGCGTCTGACTAGGGAAGAGAAACGTCTATTCTTCAGGTACTCGAATCATGGCAACACACTATTAACGCATCTGGGCAAGTGATTATATCGAAGAAAAACCATTGTTAAAAACATCATCGGCACCATGCTTGAACCCGACGGCTGCAACGGTCGACTTCGCTCCATGAAGCTCTTTCCGTCTTCATACGTGGTAGTAAAATTACAGAGTGGGCTTGTATATTCAAGTGTCTAGTGGCTTGGTCACAAGTGGGTCCGTCGTTCTACAACAGTTTGTGGAATGTTGGCTAATATACGGTGTATCCAAACACAACAACAGTTGAGACAGGTTTTCAATTATCAGTTGGGAACGGAATGAATACTGGCAACCACTGATACATTTTTCCTTTGAGAGCGTTCTACACGCTATACTCGTTGATACGATCTCGCAGATTTCTACAGAGCATAATCTGTAGTCTGTAGTCGAAGTAAACACTTCAATACATATACTAAATTCACTGGATTTATAAGCAACATGTGGTGGACATTACATGTACAATAACACGAGCTCATAAACCTTGATCCTCGAATGATTTACAATAAAGTGGCCAGAATTGCACTTTTGAAAGTGCGATTCTGGCACAGATGCTGCATTGCGTTCAACATCGCGTGTAGCTGTACAATCAAACAGAATGAATTCACTAGCGCAAACACAAGGCACTCTTGCTGGTATAGCATCGTGGCCGTTTCGATAAATATTAAGTGCAGGTGGACTTTAGACACCTAATAACTAATAGTTAGGGTCTTGTATTTTTTTTCGCACACATTTAGGATGACGGGTTGCCATTGTAGCGCCTTTAAACTGTCGACAAAATATCTGCATGCACAATAGTTCTCGGCTAAATTCAAGTGTATCGATATACCAGGAGTCATCCTTGTGCTGGGTAACACTAAGTAGTCATCCAATTTCGCGTTACATTTGGTCATCTCTTTTGCACTATTTATATATTAATGTTAGTCTGTTCTCACAATATATTCCAATCAGAGTTAATACACCGTACATTATGCGCTAATAAACACAAGAGAAGCATATTTACATAATAACGACACACACTGCAATTCATATCGAGGATTAATAGCTACAAGCAAAAACCTGGGATTGAGGCTGTTCAGATAACAGTAAAAGTATCTCGAATTATCGCCTTAACTAATAGAAATTAGCCTGCAAAATAAACGAGGTTTTATTGTTCTTAAGCTGATATACGGTAAATGATAATTCGAATCGTACTTTTTCGGCCAATAATGTAAGACCAGTATTTTAAAACCAGGAAATAAACCATGTTCAACTAAGTATTAGAGATGCTCTAGGGCACCACAGAGAAGATGGTGAATGCCACTTTCAATCACATCTGCATCGCATGCAACGATAACGCCGTCGTGCTTGGGTTTAGCCCTCGTCGTTTTTGGCCACAGTCTCTTCTACAATGGGCCATATAGCAATTTTGCCATCAAAACGGCCTTTTCGATGGCTGTCGTAGCGAGGTCTCACTACTGGTGCCAGGAACATCACCTTACCTATGTACCTCTTGTTTTGCGAGGACGTGTATGGTGCTTCTTTGTGTGTTTGCTGTTAGGTAGAATGTATTGCTAGCCTTGTACATGTTGAGGCATTTTTCATCTACATGAACAGTATCATATATGTGATGCACACGGTGCAATCTTCCTCCTTCAATAGTAATATGTCATGGAAACAATTATTATCATTAATATATAAATTAGCATTGATATTATACCTATTGGGCGCTCAAATATGTTCCAACGCGTAGGCCAGCCGCTTTCTCTTGTGCTCAGCTGGAAGCGTCGGCTTGACGCGGACGATCACTCGCTTTGCAAACTGCTTGCTTATGTAATTGAGAGGTGTAGTGTTCGGAATGTAAGCGGAATGAGCTAGGACTCGCAGTGTCTGACGGCGATGAAGTGGAGTGGCAGATACTCGAGCAACCGGTCTGGCAATCCGAGCGGTGTCGACTTGAGTTGGTGGTCGGCCTTTTTTTTGCCGTTGGTGGGCCTTTTAATCACTCCTTAAAAATTTGGACGCCTGATTACGGCAGCACCCAAACCGTTTGGCGGTAACTGACGCTGCACACGCTTGATACGACAGCAAACGGACAGCTCTGCAAGATACAGCGCGGAAGCCTGCCTTGTTCCCTCTGTGGTGTCAGGAGTTCCTGGGGCTCGCACCCATTTGAAGACTGACTGGCTTTTAAGGGTTGTAAAGCTGCCAATTAGGGTGAGCACATCCTAAGTACTATCACTGGTTTTGCTCAATAGAAATTCTGCAAGGTTTTTCCTGAAAAACCTGACAGTTTATTTTTTTAAGGACCGGAGAAGTACATCGCTCAATAGTTGATACTAGGAACAAGGGTTGCTCGTGAGAACAATCTCTCCACTTCGCTCGATGTAGAGTGAAACCGGCGGAGGTCAACGTAGCGAGATCATGGTTGCATGTTACTTTTCCAAAGAACACGTTCGGCATAGGAGATTTTCGCATCGTCAAACATATTGTTGTTGGTCGAAGAATCTTCTTATCAATTCAGGGCATCAACTTCGGCAGTCTTTAACTCTTCCTACTTTGCCGACAGGCGTTGAACGACCCCAGACTCATAATGAGGCGACTGCACCACTTTGGACTCAACTACGTATAGGTTACAGGGAAATCACTCATGAAAGCACCTAACAAAATCAAGCAACGATGCTTCGAACTTCCGGCGTTTCCAGCCTGTAGACAGTTGTTGACGCTTTTCAGGTTCTTCATCCAGCCAAATATGCTTTTCGACTTGGTTTCCTCTCTGGGTATTAGCAGTACATCTAGCAGCTTGCAATCAGTAGGTCCACGATATCAAAATAGCGAGTCATCATTTCGTGTGTAGTGCTTCATCGTGTAGTATTGTTCTCCACAGGCATTACAGCCCCTGCTTGAGGTAGTACGTTCCTTTTTTTATTGTGCTGAGCCTTAATATTAGGTATGTACTTTTGGATAACCTGCTAGTTTGTGCCAGGTTCCAGAAGCCATTGCACAGCTAGTTGCAGCCGGTGGCTGGCGCAAACAATCGTAGGTACACGGGTTTTGGATGCAAGGGTTCCATTGAGAGCTGCATGATCGCAGGCATAGATGACGATCTGAGCAGCACTTAGATTGGAGACATCCGTAGCATAGTTTACCAAGTTGATAAGCGAGTCTACTTCCATTTTAAACTCTTCATAAGAAGGAGAAAACACCAGCAATAGCTTATCGCCAACACTGCCATCAGTCAAGGACGGGGTAATAGCGACGATGACTGCAATATGAGGCACAACTTCTGTTCATGCGTAAGTTGTGAATCAAAATGACTTTCCAGAAAGTTGCTGTCGGGTATGGGCTTAAACAGCAGGGTCGGTTGCGTTAGGGTAGATCATTTGGTGGGCTCGGCTCATCGGATTGAGGTGACTACTTGCAAAAACGCCGCTCATGGTGCTCCATCACAATCCAGTCCACCCCGTAGAAGGCGTCCACAATGGTTGGGTCCACTGTGACTCGAATGAAATTGTCAAGTGTGTTCGCCAAGCAAGGGGTAGTACACGTCTAAGAACACGCCAGTATGATGGCGATTAAGGTGGTCGAGAGCATAAGTCTATCCACCGTTTCGAGGCTTGGCGCGGCTTCGTTCGCGCATCCGGTAGTGATAGCGGTCATTACGAACTTCATATATCACACTTGGTACAGTTGACGTGGCATAGGGTGGGGCACGAGGGGGGGGGCTCCATCTAATTGGGATTACCGAAGTAAAAGGGCTGGTGTGGTAAGAACTTGCGGAGTGAGACCCAAACTAACCCTTTGTTGCTGTTTGTCCAGTAGTCTGG